TAATAAGCATTGGTAGGTAGCACCAAAATACGCAGAATTTAGGTCGGTAACCGATATACGTAGCAAATATTTTTAATGCTCGTACCGACATTACATTCTATTTCAAGAGGCACCAGAAGGTAGGAAAGATGAGAGAGACGTGGGGTGAAAATGAAGATTAAATTTCGGGCTTGTATGCGAGTAGGTTTTATTTATTGATGTGAAAACGCTATCTACATTGTGGAGTAATATTTTAGAGAAAAAAAAGATCACTTCCAAAACTTTCTAAAAATCAATACCTTTGGCTGAAATTTTACCTTGTCTTAGGAGTCTACAAAGTACATTTGAAGGGAACGACATATTTTTTAAAACTACATTAAAAAACGACATTTCTCAGTTTGTTTTTAACATTTTTGTTGTTAGCACAACCACTCTTCGTCTGTTTTCTCTGTAACAACTTTTTTCTTGATATTTTTAAAGATTCAATTTTGATCTAAAGAAAATAATTCATTGGTGTTTGTATTATTTTCGAGACATTTCTCGTCTTTAATATTTTTGCAATCCACTTCCTCATTGCCACTTGCAATTACTATTAGAAAGCAACACTAACAACACTTTATTTTCTATTTTGGATATTGTTTCTGTTTAATTTCATCTGACAATTAATTTTATATTTGATACTTTGAATAAAATGGATCAAGATCTGGCTATGTTTTTAGCAATTGAGGACGATGACCCCTCTGCACTACGGGAGCTGCTAAGAGTTGGAGCAGAGCCGGACACATACTGCTTTGATATGAACAACATTCCGACTAAATCTATGATTCACATTGCTTGTCAAAAAGGTAATTTGGAATGCTTAAAGCTTCTTGTTGAATACGGTGGATCACTCGAAGCTCCAGACCGCTGGGGTCAGACCTCTTTAATGTATAGCATCGCGTCTGGGTATGTTCATGTAACTAAATACATAATCGAAATGGAACCCGGTTTAGTGAAGATCACCGACCAAAAGGGTAATACTCCGTTACACTGTGCTGTCCAAGTTCCATGTCTTGAGTCAATTCAAATGCTACTGCAGACTGAAGTAATTGATATAAATAGTGGGACTCTTGTTGGAATTACACCTTTAATGGTCGCCTGCACTCTCCCCTCTTCTTCTGAATTACCGCGTTCTCTGATCGTTAATTGTTTACTTGAAGCAGGAGCCGATGTCAAACGTATCGAAAACAAAACCGGAAAAACAGCTTTGCACGTATGTAAAATCCAAACTATTATCCTCCTTCTTAATGTTATTTTATCCGTTTTCAGATCATTTCAAATTCAAGAAATTTTTAAAAAACAAAACAAAAAAACACAAGCATTAGAGTTAGATCACTTTTAGTTTCTTAATGTATATTAATTTTTTTATCTTTTTATTCAAAATATATTCCGTTAACAATGGTCATTTATATTTTCTACATTTTTATTATTTAATTAATTTATTTTTTGTTTTTTGGTATGTTAAACTTTCATTGGTAAAAGGAAATAAGAGATTGATGGTTATATAATATAGCTATCGGCAAGGACTTTCGAAAAATACTTGAAAAACGCATTTTAAATAATGTCTTCTTTGAAGTTAAATTCTGGTATAATTTGAAAAAAGATAATAGCGGAATAACCTAAAGTTAATCCGTATTAAAAGAAAAATTAAACATTTTTTAAAAACCTGAGCACGTTCATTCGTAACTCATAGACTCGATGAATCGCCATTATAGAATAAAAAGGTAAACAACAAATTTAACAATCTTTTAAACATCCAATATTTGTCCTAGAGATATGTTTTAAAGTCATTACTGTAAACTTTGTAAAGGTAAGGATTAATTAAATGAATTTTGTAAAACTAATATTTATTTTTTACTTAATGAAAATAACGTTTACTTATTTAAGAAATGTATACTTACACCCCTGACTTAAAAAGCGCGCGAAAAATTAAAAATAAAAATTAATGAAATACGGAACCAAATGTAATAACCAAGAAATTAATATTTTTATGTTTAAAGATAATTTATCTTTAACCTTATATAACAAATAGTTTAAGAATATAATTTTTTATTCTATACGCTTTTCTTAGTAGAATGAATAATTTGATTTTTTTAGAAGTTTTTTTTAGAAGTTTTTTTTCATTAAATGATACTTTTGAGATTAATGGAGTTGCTACTAACAAAAAAAAAAAAGGGCAAAGTCGGTAAATAGTTATTGAATTGATGTTAGTTGATTGCGTTTCACTTTGAATTTTTTCTTAATTATTCACTGGCATCCAAATGATGCCTTTATTTTCTCCGTAAAGTTATTATAATCCTATATATCGAACAGTTACAAATACAAATTTTTATTTGATGTTTTTTTTTTTATGATAGTTGTTCAAAGGTGAGAAATCAGAATTATTTCCCTTTGTACATCAATGTAAAATTAACAGTTGCTAAAAGGAAAAATAAATAAAATAAAATTCCTTTAAAAAGGTTCACACTAAAAATTAATATTAAACTTTACATTTTTCAATTATTCAAACATATCTTTATTTAATATTAGTGACAAACAGCAAGAGGATGAATTTTAAAATCGTACTGAAAAATGACGTCATTTTTTTTGTAAATGAGTTTTGCACATTATGCGAGTTTGCATTTTGTTATTAAAATGTTTATAAAACTTAAATGCATTTTCTTACTTACTGTACTAGAAACAGAATATGAAAACATTTGATGTGTGCTATTTTATATTTTGAGTAACAAATTAAAAACGATTTCCAAATGATGCAAATATAAGTGAAATCCTTTCTTTAGTGCATTTTTTCGATTTTTCCAGGTTAAAATTTCGAGTTATTTCCCTTTAGTGATTGTCAATAAACATTTTTTATTTTGATATTCTGTTGAATGTAATGTTTTTATCATTTTTCAATTTCTTCATTTTTATGCTAACAGAATTTAATATAAAATTAAAAACAACAAAAAAAATAGTAAAGATTATACAATATATTGTAAGACATGAACATTTTGTTCTGAGCAGCACTCTTAAATTAAAATTATTTTTCTATTCAAATATCTTTTGTTTAACCAAGTTGATATAATTTGAAATTTGAATAATACACTCCGAATGGATAAAAATTTATAAAACATTAAGAATATCTTTCAGTCTTTATGAAATCTGAAGTTGTTTTCATACATGTTTGAAAGGGATTTGTGTTTTTTATTTTTCTATTTTACAAATTTTAATCATATCAAAAAGATTTTTGATATCACAGAAAGTAATCACAAATAAGTATACATACCACAAAAGTGTTTAGAAACTATTTATAGTTGGTGCATAAAGGGTTTTATGGGAATTTTTTCTTGAATTTTATAACTTTTATGAAAGTATTTTTTTTTTTTATTCTAGTCTATTTACTCAAGAAAAAAAAAATAATCTAAATTAGATTATAAAATGTATTTTATTCATTAATAATGAATCAAAGAGTTACTAAACAGGTTTTATTTATTATGATTTTATCAATTTGTGTACTTCTTTAACCAACATACCCAATTTTACATATGCTACCATTAATTGTTCCATCATGATGGCTATGGGCAAATATTAACAGAAATCATTTAGTTAGAGAATAGAGTATGATAGTCATACTTACACAAACTTGGTGCCAATTGAGTCATTTTAAAAAGTTTTTTGATAAATCTACCTTTGATTTCGATCCTCAGTAAATTTATTGATCTTATTTTAAATTATGCTAATTTTACATTTTTCAAATTAGAAAAACTTGATGTTTAACTTAAATTAATATAAATATTAAAAAGTTTGTTGAACTCCATTTAAATAGTTTACTTTTTTTTTTTACTGCAGTTGTATGTGTAAATATCTTGTAAAAATAATTCACATTTGCAGTATTACAAATTGAACATTTTCTGCTAGTTTACTGAATCTTTATATTAAACTTGAAAAATCAACGAGTTACTTCCCTTAGTGTAATTAAACAGTTTCATACATTTTGCGATTGATTCAGATTTTTTTTTTTTTTTAATAAGTGTTCATATACATTTATTCATCACGAACGACAAAACTAGGTTATATAATAGACACCTCGATAGAAACCTATTATGTTAACTGTATTCACTGAGAATATTTGGTTAAGTTTACAGTTACACTAAGTATTCTATATTAGTCAACAAATGTAACTTTGGTTATTTCCCTTTATCGGTAGTATTAAAAATATTTAATTACTAGCTTAATCTGGCACAAGTAATGATGCGCCTCATATCGTTCAATGAATAATCTCGACATCAGTGTAAGTATTAGGCATTTTGAATGGGGATATTCATAAACCTTTACAAAATATTGATCTGCGAGATAAATATGCCACAGTTAATTTACTAATGACTTAGTAAGAATTTTTTAATCATTTCACCCCAAGCAAGGCAATAAATCCACTAAGACGCACGAGGTTACTGAGTGCAAGAGAAAATAAGCAAAAGAAAACATTATTAATGAGAGAGAACAATAAAAGAATAGGAATAGGGAAATATATATTTGTATATGCTATCTCATTTCAAATAAAAACTTTCCAACTAAAAGACTATTAAGTATTATGTCCCATGCATCCATCTCTTTTTGTTGTTGTTTTGAAACACCCAGTAAAGATACTGAGTAATGTTGAATGATTTACTGTATCAGAACTGCAGTTGGATGATCAAACTAATGCATTCAACTTGATATTGACTAGAAGAACACTCAATATTTCAATAATTTATCAAGGTGAAGAATGTTAATAGAGGAACAGCCAAAGGTAAGTGGTTTGCAAAACTAGCAAGTCCATGTCAATACAATATAAGCAGAAATACATATCTTCAAACTTCAGCATCAAATTTTTTTTTTTTTTTTGACATCTCTTTACTTTGCATGTGTTCTTTTTAGTTCAATGTTGAATTAATGTCTTCAATGGATTTGAGTAAAAACTTATTTCTAATACTTCATAGACATTTTATTTTCTTAATTTAAAGCTTGCTGTTCTGGCCAAAGATGCAGATGTTGTGGAGGTTCTTCTTCAAGCTGGAGCTGATCCCAACAGTTTAGATAGAGGTGGACGCACAGCACTGACTAATTGCCTCCTTGAGAATATCATAGTACCACGGGAACCAGGTTCAATGCCAATCATTGACGACAATATCCAGTCAATGATTATTCTCCTCACACAAGCAGGCACTAATATGAACCTGTCATTATGTGAATATAGTCATCCCCTCATTTGTGTTTCTTTTGTGGGATCACTGCAGTTGGTACAGTTTTTCATGGAGAATGGTTCACTTCCTGATTTGTCATCTAATTGTTGTAAGTATGAGAACAAATTCTCTTTTTTTCTTTTTTTTCATTCTTGTCTTGTATGTGCAGATAATTGCTGTTTTCTTTTTCTGATTTAATTCTCTGACTTTGTAAATAAACTTGCTTCTAAAAAGAAAAAACATATATATATATATATATATATATATATATATGGGGGAGAATATGACAGTCAGGTATTTGAATGATAAAATCTATGTAACGTCCTCTAAAAGGACTGCATCAGGGATGAAATGGGTAAAATAGAATTTTTTCCAGTGTCGTTCCTAATATATGGTGTCCTGGGTATGACGATAATCTACATCTGCATCCTGGGTAAGACGATAAACTACGTCCAACAGCAAGGCCTCTGATCAAGAGGTTTTGAGGAGCGTGGAACCACCTCTTAATTGCTGGTGTTCCCAGGTCCACCCTGACATGGGGTGGTAGCACCTGTTAGGGTCCCAGCCATGGGCAAATAGTTAACACCCAAACTTGTGTAAAAATAGGTTTTAATACCAGAAATGCTTTTTAATAAAAAAAAAGTTATTACCAGCAATAATTTTTTGAAGGAAAAATTATTATCAGCAATACTTTAAAAAAAAAAATAAAAAAATACCAGCAATACAAACAGCTATACGTTCTTTGAAAAAAATATGACCAGCTATAGATTTCTTCAAGGAGGAATATTCCCAGAAATAGATTTTTGAAGAAAAACATATTACCAGGAATAAAAACTTGGTCGTCATTAAAATAACCCATTGAGGTTGATATGCCGTAAAATGAAAATCAAACCAAAACCTAATATATGTATGAGTGTGTGTGTGTGTGTGTGTGTGTGTGTGTGTGTGTGTGTATGTATGTATGTATGTATGTATATATATATATATATATATATATATATATATATATATATATATATATATATATATATATTATTGATTTTTTTTAATCCAACACTATTTCTTATTACTATAAATTAGGTACCTTCACGAAATCGCTAAAAAATAGAGCATAGTCTGATGAAAAAGAAGCCAAACTTTATGAAAACAAAATTTTATCGTCTAAATGCTTGTTTTTATGAAGAGGAAAGACCAAAGTTCTTTTTAATTATTTTTTAAAATTTTTCCTTCTTTTTAGAACATTCTAAATTTTGATAAAAAAAAAAACTTGTTTCTCTTTGTACTAACCGGGACTAGTAAATAACATAGACAATTTTTAGCATGTTTTTTTGTATTACACACATTAATTTGGAAAATCTTGCAAAAATAAAAATAATTGTCAGATGTTAATGAAACTTTCAGAAACTATTCACATATGATCAAAATTATTATAAATATGATTTTTTTATCAAAGTCATGGCAGAAATACTTTTTTAATATTTATTAACACCCCCATAACTAATTTTATGAAAAACTCTAGAAATTCGAGCGCATCAACTTTAGTGATTACAATAGTTAAAAGCACAAGGCTTTGAAGAATGCAAATCATGTTTTTTTGTTTTTTTTTAATTGGATCCGTGGTACCTGAAAATCAGCTCTGAATTGTAACTTACAAAACTCAATAAAACAAAGATACTATTTAATTTCAAATGCTTTTATTTGTTTTTATGAATATGGACAATATTTTCTGAAAGCAAAAAATTTTTTCAATGAAAATTGAATTTTTAAGACAATTATTTGTTATTTCTTTAATTATAGTAGATTTTTACATTAAGTTTTTTAAAAATATTATAAAATTAGTTAAAAGCCACATCAACTTTTCTTAAGTGTCCTTATGAGATTGTCATTGTCCAGCGCTTTAAAAATTGTATCATTTGGACCAATCAGAAGATCTGCAGTAATTAAGAAATGTAATTTTGTGTTTATAATCGGGCAGTAATTATAAAGTACGGAAGACCAACCAGAATACAATTTAGTTGCATTATTTGAGTTCAGCATTGTTCTCCGCTGTTAAGGCCTTTACTTTGGTGAAACACGTATGGAGAAGTTAATTTGATTTCTCAATTTCAACTGAGAAGGGTACCTATAAGTATCAGTATCATCTTATGAAATTTAACTATTGCTAAACTTTAATTTATATGATCTTATTTTTATATTAATCTCACTCTTAACAGTCTTATTTTTTAATTTTTTTATATTTTCCATAAAGCATCGTAAACGTAAAGATGAAAGCTAAGTACAAAAAAAAAAAAAAAATTAAAAAATTAGAGCGCTGAAAGTTTTCCTTAAAAGTAATGAGGTAAATAATTTGTTCACTTAAATCTAAATAATTTCACTTCCTTCCATCTGTAGAAAGAATTATCCTCCCGTAAGTTATCTAAACTTCATGAAAATGTCTTTCGTCACCTGTCAAATGACACGAAAGGTTATGACCTGCTTTGTTTTATTTTCAAATTACATTTTTTCGGCGCAGAAGCCAAGTTAAGCTTGGTTCAAAATATTTTAAATAAACATTATAATTTCTGATTCTATTAAAATAAGTTTTGAAAAAATGATAATTGAGTTTTAAAAGAATATCAAAGTGAGATTTTCATCTTTTTTATAAAATGGGAAAAAATGATTGAAAATGATGGATTATCTGTCTTTTCTTTTTTTTTTTTTTGACAAAAAAAAAAAACAAGATTTTTAACGAAAATTTCGGACATGCTAGGAACGATTAAAAAATGTAAAAAATCCCCCAAAAATACTTTGATCTTTCCTCTTTAATAATAATATGAACATTAGATGATAAAATTTTGTTTTTGTCAAGTTCGGTGTCTTTTCATCATGCTATGCTCTTTTTGTTTACATTTCATAGAGGTACCTACTATAAATGTTATTTTTAGTGGGTACATATATTTGAAGTACTTTTACAGTTTATGAAAAATAAAAAAAACCAGGAATAGCAACTCGCATGTGTACCCACTAGAAATAACATTTATAGTAATATATATTGGAAATAAGAATCATTTCTACTTGACTGATATTTTTTTATTGATGGCTTTTTAATTTATTTACTTTGTCTTCATTCTCAATTAATTCAGTCAAGAATAATTTTATAGTTTTAAATATTGATCATCTGAAAATGAAGCAATAAAAATAGTGGAATTTCATTTTGCAAAGTTGAAAGAAATCATATATTTACTATGCTTTTAGCTTAAGGACCTGCCTGCCTAGAAAATCAACCTTCAAAACTCACTTTTTTTTTTATAGGGTTGAACACTAACCTACTGGCATTGGTAGGTGGAAATGTGATACTTATTTCATGTGTTTTTAATCTTGTTCAAATTTCTTGATTGTTATGACCTACTCATATCTCCCGAAGCAGATGAGAATGCAAAATTTGCTGTTATTGAAACATTAAAGCTATAATCATTATAATCAATTACAGTTGATTAACTTGCATTCTAATTCACTGATTGTATGATGAATAAAAGATGCTCATAGATGGTTATGTTACATGAATGCAAATTTGAGGAATTGCTTTAATTTGTAAGAAACCATTCAAATAGAAGGAAGCTTACAAATCTATCTGAATGTTCCAGACTTGATGAAATTGCTAGTGATCTGTGTATCCTATTCAAAGGACATTTTTCTTTCTAAAGGACACCTTTTTTGATTACAGTCAATCAGATATATCACATATGTTCATGTACATTCTTTGATTTTGCATATCAAAGTATTTTTCTACAAACCCACATTATTATTCATTTTGAATTTCATGATTCACTATATTACAGAATGATACTATAAAAACATTATCATAAATATTTTTCATTTTATACAGAAAATTTTATCTAATCAAAAAGAAAGAATAGTCAAGACAATATAACCTACATAGATTTCAATATCCAAGAAAATCATTAACTTGTAACAAAAGAAGAGAGAAACTGTAAAAAGAATTTATTTTTGCACTTTTTGACCAATATACTGAACTTCATAAAAAAAACTAAAGTATAGCATTGTACCTATTGACTGACTTGTGAATAAATTCAGTTTTTATTATTTTTAATTTTTTTCATGAAATAACTTTAATAAGTATAAATTAAAATTACTTGCTGAAGTAAAATAAAAATCATCAGTAATAAAAGAAAAACATTTTTTCAGTGTTGGCAAAGAATACAAAATGGAGATTCTCCAACGATGAAATCACATCAACTATAAAGCAGGCATTAGAAACAAAAAAAGTGCAAATGTCAGAAATTAAGTGATTTAATAATTACCATAATTTAATTTTGAATCTGTTTATCAGTAAGTTGGAGTCACACCTGTATATTGTTTTAAAGGAATTTATTTGAATCTTCAGATACTCCAAGAAATCAAATTTAATCTTTACTATTTATGATCAATCATTTACTCAGCTAAATATAAACAAAATACCAGAACATTTCACATTTTATAACAAGCTCACAAAGGTATTTCACAGAATTTAATACATGATGTAGAGCAATGTTTTCCATTGCCAAAATCTGCATATCAACTTTATTCTACAAAGAGTTTCAGCTTAGCCTGCAGAGTCTACTCCCCCACACCAAATCTTTTTAAACACAAAAAAATCAGACATATTTTTTTTATCTGTTGTGATACATGACTGAGACAGCATGAAATGATCTATAAGGTTGATATGCTGTTAAACAATACCTTACCTTGACTGCCAAGTGTACCTATTTTTAGACAGATTAACTCCACCTGTAATCATTGGTACTATTCTTTGTAAGAGTAAATATGCAGACTCTGGAAAACATACTCGATTATTCTGTCTACTGTGCAGACATATGTTCACTATTTGTGCTATTCAACTAATAAATTTATGTTCTGCATTAAGATCCCCATCTCAACTTTAGTGATTATTTTTTTTATTTTCATTTTTGAAAATGACAAAAAGAACACTTAAAGAATATGACAAAAAAGGATATGCAGAAAAATACCTGAGTTTTTGTTTCATATCACTTGTGCTGAGCACAAAAGTCAGGCTACAATTTGTGTATGGAAGTAGTTGTCATTGAAAACAGCAAAACTGTGCTGTAATTTAGGAACAATACATCCAAACCATGTAAATGCCTCTCTTTTGTTCAAACAAATGTAATATCAAATAAATCTGTTACATATTAACTACTTTAGGAGGAACATAATTTTATGATAAAGTTACAAGCTATCTGGAAGATTGCAAAAAAAAAAACCCAAACATGTCATACCATTGGAGAAAATTTAGTCAATTTCACTGAAAATGAGATGATCCAAACCATCTCTGGGGATGTGATTGCTGATCAACACAGGATTTATTTATTAAATGAGACAGTCAAACAAAGCATTTAAAAAATTTCTGCTCCCATATTCCAATGGACAATTGATATCATGAAGGGGAATTTCACTCTGTAGCTTGATGAAACAACAGACTTTGATTTGATACAGAACTGAACATATATTGAATAATTTCTTTTTTGTCATAATTTGGAAAACAAATTTTTCAAATGGAGGATGGATATTTCATGAAACATTCTTCACTGTACCAACTGTGTTTCAGTCTGTCTTTATGGTGCTCCAGCAAAGATGGGAGGGGGAGAAAGACTTGGAACAAAAACAAGATCTTCTTTGTCCTTGTTTACTACAGAGTGAAATTTTTGTAAGACACTTGAAAGTGTTACAAATTTCATCAAGTCTTGTGCATTGAATTCTCAAACCTTATAAGATGTGCAAAGAGATGTGTTCCAATCATTCATACTTGCTCTTTCATTCAAATATGTTCTTATAGAGTAAAGGCAAGGTATTAAACAGAATTGATAGTTTACAAACAGAAATTGTAATTTTTCTCCAAAGAGAAATTGTAATTTTTCTCCAAAGACAGAGACACAACTTTATTGACAGCATTGAAAATGAAATATAACCTAATAAGGGTTTTTTTTTTTTTTTACATACCTTGGTGTTCTCAGTTATTTGAATGCTTCCATTCAAGAAATGATTTTTGGAATGGAAACTGTTAGAGAAAAGATAAACTTGTGGATAACCCAAATTGAAAGGAGATGAATTGCATCTTTAGCAAACTTGAAAGAATTTCTTGAAAACAATAGTTTGAGTAAAGGATGTTAGTTAAATTTCCATGGTGCATTTGAATTCATTGCATGAGATAAATCAATATATCCTTCAGATTGTGATGAATTGAAAAAATACAATTGGGAGATAAATCATTTCAAAGGTATCTGCTGTGAAAGTACAATGTGGAAGGGTTGGTGGAGGAAATGATTGATTGGTAAAATATTCAACCCTTGAATTCAATATCACAATTTTGGTCTGATTTAACTTCAAGAAGTGTCTCCATTCTTTAGCTAATGTTTTGCTGCCATTTCCAGCTAGCTACATTTGTGAGAATGGGTTCTCTGCATTAGCAATAATGATAAACACAAAATCATACAGTCAGAGTATGACCTACACTGCACTTTAAATAGTATGGAACCAAATCTTGGTGAGCTTATGAAAAATGGTCAGCACCAAAGTTTGCATTAATTTCACTTTGGGTATCAAAAATATTAAATCCATTACTAGTTATGAGAAAATATTTTTATTTGCCTGTTTATAGAAAATGCTTAAATTATCTCTTATGTCAACCTGTGAACATTGCTTGAGGTATGAATTTTAGTCAGTTATTAAAAACAGTTACAGTATCTGTGTATCTTAATTTTAGAAGTTTCCTCTTATATTTCATTATTTTTAATCATTAAAATTTCAAAGACATCAGCAGCTTCAAAAAACTAAAATAAGAACCTTTTTAGCAAATACTGAAATTAAGTAAATAGGTTTTTCGCAATTTCCAATTCCTTGTGTCTAACTTTTCAAAATTAATTAATGCAAATTATATTAGTAATGCATACTAAAATAATTGTGTAAATTCATTTCTTTGCAGTTCCTTCTGGTGTGACTCCAATTTTAACTGCTGCCAGTAGAAACCAGATCACCATAGTGAAGCATTTTCTCAGCTGGGGTTGCTGTTTTAATGAAAAAGGCAGGATCAGCCGTAAGCAAACGGACTACAGTTTTGATTGCTTCGAATTGGCAATTTTTCTCAAGTACTGGGACCTTGCCAAATTGTTGCTAAAGGTTGGTTACCACTGGAAGCCTAACCAAATAGATAAAGATGAAGACCTCAGAGAATCATTAGAGACCAGTGAGGAAATGACCGAATGGTACAATTCCTTTGTTCGCACACCACAATCTCTCATGTTTTATAGCATCCGAACCATCAGAGAGAGTTTAGGTTCAAATATTCCTTCCAAATATAAAAAACTTGAACTTCCAAAATCCATTAATGATCAGATTCTTTTGAAGGATCTTCTTTCTTTGGAAGAAAGTTGATAATTCTGTCCACTAATATCCACTCAGTGATATTTCAAATATGGCTACAAATGAAAAATGTGATGATTTTAAAAATGGTCTTGGGAGGCTGTTAAAAGTAAAATTCTGTATTTACAGAAACGGTTGTACATGACTGCTATAACTGATTAATTATCAGTGAATTATTTTGAAGGCATTTTTCCCTTCCTTTCATAGGTGTCGTTCATCACAACTAAATCCTAAAGGGTTTCTCAATTGGCTTTTTCATTTTTTTTTTTTTATTTGGCTAGTGCCTGTCTAGATTAATACCCAGTCACCTCCTTGCTCTTTGTTTTGTCTGCTCTTATGCCAAGCTTAAAATATGAGAAACTATTTTAAGCTGGTAAAGCAGGAATCAATTCTTGCTGGCTCAAATCCAAAGCACTAAAACTTTGGCTCAAAGAAAGTAAGCATTGTAAATCAATGTTTTTTATTTCTTAATAGGCAGTTTTTTAAAAAACAAAAATAATTATACTTTAAACTTACATATATATTATGCACAAGCACACATTCACACACACAGAAGGGTACATCAATAAGTCCATAGCCTGATGTATATTTATTAGTATATTCACAATAAAAGTGATTGAAAAATAAATATTTGTGTAAAATAAATGCTTTTTTCCATTACAAGATGGCAGATTTATTGATGTAGCTATGTTTTATATAAATTAAGTTTTTGACTTTGGGAAAATTATAACACCAGGAGTTTATCTACTATAACTGTATAATCAAATGAATGTACAATGAAATGAAGTTAAAAAATCTTTTAAAACAGTCATTCTTTGATCAACACAAAGTGATCGTAAAGAGTTTAGTTGATTTTACAAGCATAAAGAATAGAACTGTTTTTGTTTTTAAAGTATTTTGACACTTGAAAATTAAACTCTGGAACATATCAGAACCTTTGAAAGAGATGGTTACCTTTATGGAAATCTCACAATGAATGTGATACAGCAATAGAAAGAAATTGTGAACAATAAGTACAAATGGAGAAAAAGAAATGCACAAATTATTTCTCAGACAATTTACTCTACATCAGAAAATTGTAAAAGCACAATTTATATCTTCTTTTGTACAGCAATTGGCTATGAAACAAAACTTAATTTGTGAAAAAGAATGATTTGTGTATTCTCATTTATCTTTCTATTATCTTTGTTTGTCTGTGATATTTGAGTTATATTATTGAAGAATGATTTTGGTGTTGAATGTATCTCAGGTTTTCTAAGGCAGAAACTGGGATGGATCAATGAATCAATACATTAGTGTACAGTACTGTTCATAAGCATTGGAACAAATGCATGTTGATTTGAAGAGTTAAAAATATAAACCAAACTTTATGGAATTCACTGAAAAATGGAAGGAGAGGGGAAAAATAGTAAAAACAAAAACTGGTGAAAATATAAGAAATTAGTTAATATCTATTGTTGTCACCATTTGCTTTTCAAATCTCTCTTTGGGATATAGTTTGAACATATATTTTAACTGTTTCTTTTCCAACATTGTACCAGAGTTTTGATTTATTCTCTTAATGTCTCTTTACATGTAATTTCATTTTTTTTCTTTTTTTTTCTCTAACTTGAAATTGATCATGTCCTACAGCTGTTCAATAAGATTTAAGTTTGGTCAATCCATAGTATGAAACATTTATCTTTTACTAATCTTATTTTTTTTCCAAAACTTGTACTTAGCTTAGAACTGTGCTTCAGATCATTATCTTCTTGGCCAATGACATATTATGGCTGATCTGGATCTGATGATGCTTGAATTTGTCTATTACACCATTTATTAAACAAATATTTAAAACACCGTCAGTAGAGAAACAGGCCCAGATCATAGAATTATTTCAAATTGACTTCAAAGAAGAGATAAATAGACTGTAAATAATAAGTTCTCTCATTTTCTGTATATCTGATTTTTTTAATAGCTATCAAACAATTCAAAATTTTTGTTTTGCCTATTTTTCCCCAACTGGTCAATGGCTCACTCCCCATACTTTTCTGGAAAACTGAAACTCTGTTTTTTTTTTTTTTTTTCTTTCCTTAGTAAGAGCTTTTTGTTCTGCTGCAACTCTTGTGTATAAATTTATATTTTGTAAGTGCCTAGAATTTTTCTTATGTTTGGTTTCATAAAATCAAGTTTACTTCATCAGCAAGCTCACAAGAATATTTTCGCTTATACTAAGATATTTTTTATAAGTTGCCTGTTGACTTTACTCAAACCAAAATATATTTTACAGCATTCAAAGAACAGTTAATGTTCTCTGTAGTTTTTCTATATGGTCTAACCAACATCATTTAATGCTTGTATCATTTATATTTCTTCTATGTACAATTCTTTTCATTTAAGCATATTTGTTGTCAATGGTAAATTTCAGGAAATTTAAAAAATAAATTGTTAAATGAATTAGATCAAGAATTTCTTTTTCTCTCTCACTAAAATTTTGTTCAAAGACTAACATTTGAAGGATTGCCAAACAATATAAATAGCTTTAAATTAGTGTTTGTAAAGAATACAGCTTTTCTGCAATTTTGATTCAGCTATTGAACATTTCAGCCAAAAAATAAAATAAAAATAATTGAAAAAAAATGTAATGTTGTGATATTTTAACTAAAGCACAAGAAAATGATCAAATACATCTAATGAGTACAAACAATGTCAAACAGAATGTGTTTGTTCAAATACTTATGAGCAATACTGTATATTTCCTTTTTAAAAGTGTTTATGTTGAAGCCTGGATATGCCAGCTGATAGTTTACACACTGAAGTGACTACACTCTAAACAAGCTTCTAAAGTTGTATGTGATTCTTTTCAACATTTCTTACTTTTTTTGCAATGAAGATTTAAATTCCTATTTCATTTGATAATTTTGTTAGCATTTGATATTTAATTCTGTTACAAGTAGCAAATGACATTAGCAAACTTTGTTGACTAAATCAAAAAATACTTACAGGGACCCAGTAAATTACCATATGCAGCCCTAACTCAACATGCAGTATTTCTGTTGCAAATATTTTCAAGTAATATTTAGGAAATTTCTTTTCTAACAGTTTTCTGTATCATGAAATGTCACTAATACTGAACTTCAGTCCTAATCCTCTTCTAGGGGGTCATTCACCAACCCAATTTAGTAATATTGTAATACCTAGTAACTGGTAATTTCTGGGCAGAAAGAAGTTTGTCCACAAGAACTTTCCATACTTGGTGACAATGCTAAAGGATATAGAAAAAAAATCGCAAAGAATAATTCTATTCCACAACACAATCATCTTAGAGGAAAAGAGTAATCTATTATTAAATCTTGTAGAAATTGGTAACCAAACCTATTTTTTTGAATAGCCATAGTAAATGAGTCAATGGAATGTAATTTAAACCAATAATTGATATCAGAGTAACTGTTTAAAAAATTGATAGCATTAATAATTACTTTAAGATATAGAAAACATAAAATAATATAAAGTTTTATCTTTGGAATCAAAAAAATGAACAACTGTACATATTTTCAGAAAAGTTTGCATGTATCACTTCACACAGAAAGACCAATGTTGGTTTTCAGCCTGAAAAATGGATTTGTAAGATTAATGCCATTGAGAAAAGAATCCACATTCCAGACATTTACACAATCTGCAGGGACTGGGCATTTTTTATCATTTCCTACACACAAATGTACATGGGATCTGACGTTAAAATTGATCTTGTGTCACATTTTATCATCTAGGGGAGATAAATAGCTACAAAAGTACATTCTAATTCTTGTTTAGCCATTTTTATCAAAATGACTCTTAGATATTTGGTTTTAACTGCAAAAGAAATTGTTAATGCTATCAAATTTTCGACTGAAGAAGGATTTTTGCAGTGTGATCTTAAGCAACATGTATATTACATGGATTCAATGATGGAATTTTTTCGGAGCAGCATTTACATCTGTGCTTTTTATCAGGAATCAATCAATTTGTCTACCACTATGTATACACTTAGAAAAAACTATATACAATGTGGCAAGTTTCTTTTTTTAGTTTTAATTAAGTACATACAAAAAGAATCAATTACTATCAAATGTTTCTACATAACATCCAAGATGAATAGAATGTTTTTTTTTGTCATCTCATTCTGAAGCTTAAAGATATCCAAAAGGTAACAATACTCAAGAACAGAGACTAGGGAAGGTATATCTCTACACACACAATTCAGAAATAAACTTCACATACCCACATGTAAAAATTCCCAATTGGCAGTAGTTTCTGTTCATTATCTTTGGCAACATGTGTAAAGACAGCTACAAAATATAGAAGAAGAATGCATGCTAATAACTTTAGATGTTTCATACATAGATCCAATATGTCTGTCTTAGAATTATTTTTCACTTAGAATTTCCTATATTGTATTTTTCCATACCTCTGCTGAGACTTATCATAACAGTAATTCTGTAAAAAGTCCTAAAACCACATACTGGTTCCAGTTGAAGAGCATAAAGAACTAGTAGGTGGCATCTATCACCTGTATTCAAGAACAATATAGAATAAATTATAATACTGAGTGTAAATAATTTATTTACTTTATGCCAGATAAAAAGAAACAATAACAACAATAACAACAATAAATGAAAGTCTGCTTCAACAGATGAGAAACTGCAGACTTGTTTTCTTCAGGTCCAAGTGACAAGACATTTTCAACATGTACCATCATTACCTACATTTCACATCTGTTTCAACAAATTCTCATCAATAAGTAAAAGATCTAAGAGTAATACTTCAATAACAAATATTAGAACATAGCTTCTAAGACTGTAATTCTGCAACTCTTTCAAACATTTTTATGAATGATCGAGGATCTTGGGCTCCAGAGAAGGTGCTGTAACCATTCATGAAGAAATGTGGCACACCTGAAATGACAGAAAAAGGAAATGGTTTTGCATACTCCTTTTAAAGAAAATTTATTTCTTTTCAGATCTGTGTGTGTGTGTATATATAATTTTTGTGCCTTTTGTATACTATATATATATATATATATATATATATATATATATATATATATTTTTCTACACATTTGCTAAAAAGTTATCCACTACAAAATTTGATTTATAAATTATATGAAAGAAAAAAATTCAACTATGAAAAATGTAAATTAATACCAATTTCTTATTTTACCAGAGTTCCATCTTTAATGTGTTTATATCTCAGTACTTTCATGGTTTTATCTTTATTGCACCTTTTCTTTCTGAAAATCTTGGACACTGTCAGCATCAAACTTAACAAAAGATTACACAGCTATATCTAAAAATAGCGACCCACACAAATAATTCTTACATGTTTGTATATCTGAGTGCATTTCTACAGTTACACAAGTAATTTTTCTCTTAATTTTCTATTGCGCTGTTTTCAACTTTTTACAAATTAAGGAAAAACAAATATTTTTATAATTCAGATTTTGACATGTTTGATTCATTAAAGACATATTTCCTTGTTTTACCAGTTACTAAAGATGGCATATCATTTACATTTTCCTGGAAAGATATTCACAACAATGTCTCACCAAAAATAAAAACTAAATTTAATGTAAACTATAAGAGGCAGTGTAACAAATAAAAATAGTTGTAAAGCATTAAAATTATATATATATATATATATATATATATATAAAATAAAACAGGTGTATTTTAAAAGTGGATGGGGAAAATTCTTTAATCCTTATTTTGACTTTTTATAAAGGTGCTGAAAAGTTCTCAATTCAAACCTCTTCCCAAATTCTGACCAAACATTAAAATTCTTTTTTTTAAATACTTTTTGTTTGGGCATAGAACTTTTTAGCACTCCATCATATGTTACTGTTTTAAATAAATAACATCTGTTCAAAATGCAAATTAAAAAATAACTATTTAATCTTTTTTCATTTAATAACTTTTTTCAAATCTGTGATTTAATTAATTCTAAAGAAATCAACAAAAGAAAGTTTTTTTAGTCTATCATCAAAATATATTTTGTTTGAATCCAATACATTAGAATACAGAAAGTCATGTCAGTAATATATACCAGCAACATGTAATAACATGTAATTTTTGTTTTTATGCCTTCAAGAATATGGTGTTTTAGACAAGAGTTATTTTAAAATCTCCCTTGAATCCTCATACAGCTTTTGTTGCCGTGTAATTGGTTAATTTATTATTATTCTTTTATAAACAAATGGTCAAAAACCCCACATGAAGAAAAAATATCATAACACATTAAATGTTGCTGACATGACTTTCTGCTTTCTAATGTATTGGATTTAACTTTTAAACAAAACATAACACTTAAAACAATGTGCTGCTTAATCAACCAAATTTAATAAACATTAAAGTGCAAATAGGATCTTACCAGAGACACCCTTGCTAGACCAAGTTTTGTACTGCTTAAGAACATTCTCCTGGACTTGAGATCTATTAATAAACTCTTTGACTTCATCTGGTTCATAACCAACTTCTTTTGCAATGGACACCAATGCATCAGTATCCAGGAAGACACCATTTGTAAAGTAGGACTGAAATTAAAAAATAAATCAGGACAGATATTTCAAGAGGCAAACAATGATTTTTTTTTTTTATTTATCAATGCAAATGCATTTTTAGTAGTATGCTTAAATAACATTAAAATGGTAAACAAAGAAATTCATATATTATTCAAAAAAACATTTGTTAGCTAGTAAATAATTTCCTTAAAAATATGTCGTGAAGCATCTAATTTCATAGCACTGGAAGTTTATGGAAAGAAAGTCATTTTAAGCATTATGAAAAGATAAAAATTAAATACATTTTACTCTGTGATATCAAGACTAAAGTAAATAAAACTGAGATTTTGGCAAATGACATTTGAACATGTTTATCCAATATCAGTGATATACAAAGGCTTTGCATTATCAAGAAAGTAGACAAATTTTAAACTACAAAAGTATAGTTATTTGAAAACCAGCTTCAAATTGAGTGTGTATTTATGAGGAAACAGCTAAATTCACATTAATATAAAGTTTGTGCAAAATTTCCTTGCATCATAATTGGTACAATATTAGGGAATTCTTAAAACCTTTTTTCTCAAAAATTTACAGAAAGGAATTTATTTTTTCTTTAACTTTTTACTTGACATGCAAACACACACACGCACACACACACAAAAAAAAAAAAACGTTATTTTTGAATAGATAGTCACTGACAATGAAAAATGGAATCATTTCTAAAATCTGTAATGGCAAGATTTAAAAGATCCTTCAAGATCCAAACTTGAAGGGTATACAAAGTGGGAAGGGAAACAAACTGCAGTGAGTAAATGGCTTTTTTGAATGGCGAACTGTAACAATTTAGGGCTGGAGCAAGAAAGTCGATCAGTAATTTTGCTGCATGAAATCTCTATTCTTACGATTCAAATGTAATGCACACAAAAAAATCCTGGAGCCAGGATATGAAATTCTTCAACATGCATTGATATTCTTCTTACCTGTCATTTTCAGATTATCATTTGAACCATGCAACATTTTGTCTGGTCAGTGATTTGAATCAAAACTAGAATCATAATTTTACAATGGAATATAGTTTAACAGAAAAATGATAAAAGGTCAGAGAAAATAGTTTGATGATAGAATAATCATGTTATGTATTTATACAATTTAAAAGGTTTTCTCAAATACTGGAAACTTTATAAGCTCCACATAGTGTTGTTACTTTCACATTGCAGCTAGATTATTATTGACTAATAAAACTGAAAAAAATTTCTAATTCATTTTTATATCAAGGTTTTAAAATAACTAACATTGATGAGATGTAAGATTAAAATGTATCAAACCAAATAACAGTAGTTGGGACTTGGAGACTTAGCAAGATCATAATCCTTTGATGGAATACAGAAAAATGTTATAGGTCCAGAGAAAATACTTTGATGACTGAATCTTGAATTTATAAAAGATTTCATCAAAAATTATATATTAATGCTAAAAACCTCTGCATCAACCTAATAGTAAGATTGTACTAATTTTTTTTTTTTTATAAAAATTAAATACTTTTTTAAAGTAATGATACTAAATGAAGAAAGAAACTAGCAAATTCAAAGATAGCAAAAGTATAGAAATATAAAAGCTTATACATAATAAAAGTATATTTTGACAATCAGACAAAATTCAAAAACTATTTCAATATAGAGAGAATAAATGCACACTTTTATTACAAATGAATCTGAAAAAAAATTATGTTAACAAGATTTAATTTTGTCAACCTCATATATATAACTAGATTAGAAATAAAGTAATTAATAGGATTAATTTTACATTAAAATGAAGTAATCGGGTTCCAGCTGTCCCTTTTTAATAGTATTGTCTTATAATTCATATTTTTGCATATTTGTACAGTAAAATAAATTCTATTTCAACAGTTCTTTAATATTATTTTAATAGAATATTTTTGTGTTACCTGGACCTTCATGAAGAAAAAAATATAGCATACAAATAGTTAAAAAGAAGAATGTAGTCAAAAAGTAATATTTTTTTTTTTAATTAGTATCACGCCAAGGAAGGCAGTACAGCCATTAGCATGGCAGGGGTTACAGGGTGTGCAGAGGAATTAGGAAAAGAAACATTAGTAATGAGGAGAAAGAGAAAAGAGTAATCAAGAGGACAGTAGAAAATGATTGACATTGCATTTAAATTTTTGCAGATTAAAGTTGGTTGAAAAGCATGGAGCCAAGAGAAAGAAGTGTGAGAGAAGAAACTGTTAGCATAGAAGTAACAGCTAGATCTAGCTAGCTTAACTGTACATTGATGAGACCTTGCCACCAGTCTAGTATTTCACTTAAATTCATACTGTCTAGGTACCATAGCAAAGAGCTTATCTGAACAATTACCATGAAAGTATTTATAAAAAAGGTACAGAGTGGCAACCTTAAGGCAGTGGGCAACTGACACCAAGCTGCTAGATCACGACTAATATTGCCGATTCTTCTTTGGATTTTAACATGTTTCAGACATTATTGTGTATGGTGATGTTCTAAGTGTAGCATAGATGTGGCCCAAAGATTCAATGTAGTCTTTCCACATCATGTCAGCTGAGAATGTTAGCCTGAGAAGGCACAATGAGTCAATTTCTTGGAGGATAGCATCAGCCATGCTGATGGAAGGTAGAGAGAGGTCTCTCAGATGATTAATTAAGAGAAGTTTAGTTTTGGAGGCATTAAAATTGACAAGTGGTCTTTTATCCTGGTTATTGACAGTCATGAGTTTGTTTGTGTTGTGTCGGAAACCTACCACCCCTCTTGAAGATGAACTTGTCTGCAAACAAAGACTTTAAATAGTGGCATATCAGGAAGACAGATAGACAGAGAAGTCCTTAGCTGGTGTTCTTTTTTTGCTTTTACACCGCTTCTTCTCCTGACCGGTGTTAGACATTTTTTGCTGTCTTCCAAAGGACTATTTTTTCAACTTTTCTGACTGCCTTAATTTAGTTAAGTTTTTTGATTTAATTGTTTACCATTTTTCTAACGTGATTTTTTTTGACTCTTTTGTTAAATTTGTCATTTTTCGAACTTTCTTATTTTGACCTTTTGTTTTTTCCTTTTCATTTCCTTTCCCTTTTTACCGTTACTTCTTTTTTGTTATTAATTATTTCTGTTCTAATTTTTATTTTCTTTTACGTTTTACTTTTTCCGTGTTAAGTCTATTTTTTTCAGTATCCACACCCCGGAGTTTTTTCTGTTTATTTTTCGTTTCTCGTTTGACCTTTTTATTTTTTAATTATTACGTGTTAATTATTTCTGTGTTACCCGTTTAAAAAAAAAAAAAAAAAAAGTCTACGTGTTTATAATATTTGTTTTAATTTTTGTAATTTCTGTCCCTCCTCTTTTTTTTTAACGTTTTTTTCTTTATTGGGTTGACCGTTTTTTAGCGGCAGCCATTTTGTAAATTGTAACTTTTTTTTTGTTTCGTACGTATTGCGTTTTCTCTTTTCCGTTTATAACTATTAGTTTTATTGTGTAATTTGTGGCTTTCTTGTCTGTTGTACCTTTAATTTTTGTTCTTTCTTCGTTTTTTTTGTGATCCTTGTTCACATTTTCTCGTTTACATTTGTGGTTATATTTTTTGCACACGTCCTTCTGTTTTATTGTCTGTTGATATTTGCAAACCTTTATTTTTTTTACCCTCCCCTTTTATTATTTTTTCTCCCTCCCTCCGCCTATAAGGCGTGTTCCCCACCCGTATTTACCCTTCCCCTTCCTTCTTATTATTTAATAATGGATAAAAAAAGGAAAAAAACCACCCTCCTTTTTGGCTATAAAAAAAAACCCTAATTTATCGGGTTATAAAAAGACTATACGTAAACACTTGTTTAACCCTACCAAGAAAGACCCCCCGGACAAAGATAACTTAAATGATTTTCCCGCGCTTGAGACTACTTCCCCTAGCAACATTGATACTGCTGGGGAAAAAGAAAAAGAAAAAAATATTTCTACGGAAGCCAATAATGGCAATAAGGAAAAGGATATACCTATGGAGGCCAATAATGGCCAAATTTCTGAAAATATTGTAGAATCCGGAAAGGAACCGCAAACTGAGCCTGAGGCCGGGGAATCGCCCTCTTGTTGGTCGTCCCCTCCTAAGTGCATTATCAATTTAGCGGAGTTCTTGGAGCGTGCCAAAAGTTACGCACACCTTGTTGTAGAAGGTGGACTTTTGGAAGACCCCCAAGAATTAAAGAAAATTGACAAAAGAATAGTGTCAGTTTTCGTCGTGGACAAGCGTACGCGCAAAATTTGTCGCTCGACGAAAAACACAGTGTTGAAAGCACTGGAATCCTTCGGGTTCAAGCCCCTTAGAATAGTTAAGGGTGCTAAATTTTTCATGTGGGACGTGCTGTTGCCCACATCAGAAGACTGCGTCGCCGCGGCTAGCCGCGAGCTAATCAACAAAGAGATTATACTGCGTACAGAGTACGAAGGCCGACGTAAGACCAAGTTAACGGTATACGAGGTCCCTCCTCAGGTTATCGGGGAACATCTCGCGGCGTTCTTCTCTCAGTATGGCGAAATTCTGGGAGCTTCCTGTGATAACCTGAGCGGGGGGTGGAGCTTTGACATCATGTTGGACGAGAAAGCCTTCCGCTCCATCCCCAACTGTCTGGATGTTGGCGTTTTGAAATTACCGGTCATTGTGACGGGTCGAAGACCGGTATGCTGGAGGTGTGGGGACTGGTCATCTCTCTCCTCCTGCCCAGAGAAGAAGGCCTCTGGAAGTCAAGCGCCAGTTACTCAAGATCCCCCTCTGACCGCGTCTCTAAATTCCGCCTCGCCTGTAATGGGCGTACCAGCCTCCGGGACCGGGTCGGTTAATCCTCCGGTCGGCGCGTCATCGGAAGCCACATTCCCCAAAGAGCCTTCGCCCGCTGCCGGTGCAGTTGTGGAGAAGTGGGAGGGGGAATGGCTGGTTGCTGGTAAGGCCAGAGGGAAGCGCCGGACAGCGGGTCCTCAGTCCCCTGAAGCCCCAAGGAAGAAAGGCACATACAGCCCCAC